TTGCAGTTACAGATAAACTTTGAGGTCAGAAACTTGGCTAGAAAATTCCAAATTGTTTCTTGCACAAATCACTAAGATTATGTTTAGCTAGTCCTATAAATTACCTCAAAAATTTGCTGTTTATGAAACTGGTACTAGTTCTTAAACAATAGTAGATTAGTATAACTTTTATCATGATATATGCAGCATAGTATTAATGAATCAAAGTAATAAAAAAATTGGTGGCGAAGAAAAATTGTAGAAATTGATGAAAGTCTATTTGGTAAGTATAAATATAATAAAGGAAGAAGAGTAGAAGGTTAGTATATTACAAATTATCAATTTTTTTTTTTTTATACTCCAAGATAGCAATTATCTGCAATTGTTAATTTTTTCAATCACTTAGTTAATAATTTTTCTAGCTGTACTAGTTGCAACTAATTGATTAGTTGATATCTAAAAAGTTTAATTGATTAGTTATCAACTAATCAATTTTTTTAATTTTCAATTTGTAATACTACAGATCAGTAGGTTTTTGGAGAGATCAAAAGAGAATCGAGCAAAATGTTTTTGGTTTCAGTTCCTAATTGTTCAAAGAAAACATTAACAAAGTTTTTAGTAGAATATGTAGAAAAAGAAACTACAATCTATAGTAATTGTTAGGCTGCCTACCAGACTAAAGATTTTGAAAAATATTGATAGAAGCATGGAATAGTCAACTATTCAAAGCACTTCAAGGACCCTGAAATAGGGGTTTATACAAACACGATTGAATCAACTTAGCATGCAGTAAAATCATCCCTTCTATGAAATTAAACTATCAAAGAATTATATGATTCATATTTTTTAGAATATATATAGAGGCAACAGTTTGTTCAAAATGATAGTGATGCATTTAACAAACTAGTGGAACATATAGTATTATATAGTAAAAAATTAAAAGAGATAATTAATAAAATAAATAAAGCAAAAGTTTAAACTAATTAATTCTTATAATTTTAGATTCCTCCAGAGTAATTCAGTAAATAAAATCGAATTTAATTTTTTCATTATTAACTATTATTATTTTAAAAAAAAATGAATTTATTAATATTTAAATTATATAACATATAAAAAATTGTAATTATATTAAATTGCCTCATAATTAACAAACAATAGATAAACCTAATTACTTAGCTAAATAAAATAAATAATAAATAAATAAATAATAAATAAATAAATAAACAAATAAATAAAAAATATAGTTAACTAATAAATAATTAAAAAAATCTTAATTAGAGAAAGATTAATAGTCAACAATCTGATAAAAAATCTCATTAATAAAAAACTAATTAAACCCAAAAAAATTAGATACTATTTAATGAATCGCACTAAAGCTTTACCTTTTAATGATTTATCTTATAATAACTCTTATTTTATTGATATTTACATGATTTCACTGTAGAATTTTATTCACACCATCAATACGGCACATCATTTCTTAACCTGTCATTTAATTAAAAAATACAGTAATGGGCTATCGATTACTAGAATTAGAATAGAAAAGAAGATTTGGTTAATGTTATTAAAGCATCCAGGTGTTGCCCAAATACAAAAATATGAACAAACTATATTATCCTAAATGAAAGAAAAATGAATATCTCTCAGGATCAAGAAAATTAGCATGGATAAATGATTATTTAAATGATTAGAAAAAAAAAGATGCCTGATATAAAGAATAAAAACTTTAATAATAGTCTAAACAAACAACATTAACAAAAAATTTAGCTTCACTACCTGACACTTGTTTCGCATTTCCAATTTCAATCAAAATCTTAGCACTGAATGATTCAAAACAGCAAAAGAAATTAAAGCTGACATAAAAAATAAAATAATTTAGTAATATGCGTAAAAGAATACTCAGCTTTGCTATGATGATTTCACAATTCTAAAAAGAGAATGTTAGCTTGAACACAAAAACAAAGAAATAAAATTAAAAAAAAAAAATAAACAGAACGAAGTCGCCTAACTTATTTATACTAACAAAAGTTTTCTTGAAAACTTCTTGTGTTAGTAATGAGTATAGAATTACTGAATTACGGTATTTTACCATGTGGGGTATAGTACGCCGTAAATATCATCACGGTTACACACATCAGCATATATCATGTGTTATGTGATTGATACGCACTACCTGATTTTGTTTTTATCTTTCTGGCCAATCAAAATTAGTGGGTGATTATTTCGAGGGTGACACAATTCGCAATAATCACTGAGTTCAGTGTTCTTGAAACTACCCTAATTGTCTTGTGATTGGCCTGTTTAATTTTTTTGTTTAATTTTTTTTTTTTTTTTGTTATCCCCCCCTGCTCGAGTCAAAAGTTGACGTTAACCGAAGAATCAACTTCAAATGGCCTTAGTGAGCATTTGGGAACGATAAGTCTTTTAAGAAAGATCCGTATTAAAAGACTTATAAGCGGACCCATTAAAAAGTATATAAGCAGAGTTTTTCTGCTCTTCAATAAAGGTATCGCTGAGTCGATAAAACATTTTGCCCACACAAATAAATTGGCTCAACTTTCCTTTGACATAATATTTCGCTAATATTTCTAACCCGTATTCGCTAAGTTAATAAACTTATAACGTTACGCTGCCAAATTATTACTCTAAAGTAATCGTTAAGTTGTTGAGTAAAGAGAAACTTGCCGAGAATCGAATTGTTAATTATCCTAAGAGAGAGGATAAGTCAAAATTAGTAGATTAAGGAAGTTAAAAGTCTCAACAAACTTTGTGATAAGAAAGAAGAAAGAGAAGCAACTTGATACAAGCGATAACCGAAGCCTTGGAAATCCCTTTGCCGAATTACTACGCCTTCTTTCGATAAGTTATCCTATTCCGTTATGCGAAGATCCATAAGTTTGAGCGACTAACTCGTCGTATTCAAACCTTACAATGGTACCTTGTTCTTTGGCAGACGACATAATAAATTTATCTGGAATTTTACTTTATTTGTGACGGGATCAAGACTTTAAAGCAATTCAGTTTTATATACGTATGTTACTATTGTTTGGGAGAGCGTTGTACAAATAGTGCCGGGTTTAGCTCCAATAGTGAACTTGGGTAAGTAATATGAACAAATTTTATAGAGTCTCGGGGGTTTATATCGGTTATGTTCACGTGGAGTTATGGGTTTTAATTAAATCAAGGTGATTAATTTGATAGGTCGATAAAGTTATTAATAACGGAAGTTGATGTATTTAATTATAGTGTTATTGATTAATTTATTAAGGATCGGTTTATTCAGTGTAATAATATGATATAATGTAATTCGGGGTAAAATATGTATCGATTGACAACAAATATAACGAAACGTATATTAATAAAGGGTTATTTAAAAAAAAATAAACTTTAAAACAAAACACTTTGAGAATTCGATTCCTAATATCTTTCTTATATTCAAGACATCAAAGTCTGAGGAAATTTTATTAAAGTCAAAAAAGAGCCCTTTAAATACAATATTCTTTACTAATAACTACTGCGTTCTACCCTACAACTCTGATCTCAATACTGATCATAATCCCTCCTACAATTCTTTATCTCTTATCTTACACGGATTGTGTGCAATCTTATTACAAGTCTTGCGATGGGTTGCCCATTGTACCACCCATCTCTCAATCTACAATTCCACCGACAACAACCAGTTTCCTCCTAATTTAGATTTACTCTGCATGCCTTACCCAATATATATACAAATAAAAAAATAGAATTATCGTGACCATCTAAGCCCCAGGAAATATGTCACGAGGGAACCCGTAACAGTAATTCACACATATCAGCGGATATCTTTCAAATTCGCTTTGACCACTGAATTTTCTAATATTATAAAAGGATACTCTAGGTATGTTCTATTCTTTTATTATACTTACTTGATTGAAACGTAAGTTTTTGCATCAGGCATCTCAGTTGTACTTGTTAACAATAATCTTCTTATACATATAAATTATGACTAACAGCTATCCTACTAAGAGTTAAGATTTTTCAATATTTCAAAGACTGCAAGTATATTCTCATGTAGGTTCCTGTAGGTAATCTATCAAGTCTTGGCTTTTTAAATTCTTTTCTGCATCATCTATATGTGAATGTTAAAACTTCAAGACTATGTTGCTGTCCATATGCAAATATAAGTTTTTCAGAGGATTAAGAATTATCAAGTATTAAGCATGAATAGGAGTAAAGTACACACCATCAAGATAATTTTATTTAGACTGGGACTTTTCCAAAATGATTAGGCTTAGACTCTTTAACCAGGTATAAATTCTCAACGCGTAAATTTTTTCGAATTGTCTTTCCAATGATAAAATTAAGAAATAAATTCTAAAAGATTTCCAACAATATCAGTTTGAACCATTTGCCGCATCATATGTAAAGAATTATCAAATACCTTTTCCTTAAAAAATATATATATTTTATATTATACCTTTCTAAAATTTGATAGCAAAATAAATTGCAAGAATTAAAAATGATGTTATAAAAAAAGGATATTGAAAATGTACGTTATTACAGAAATACAATGATTTAATTTTTAATTATAATTATTTTTATTTTATTCAACGATTCTTAATTCCGGACAAACAAAAAGTGATGATAACATGAATCTAAATGTTTCTCTTAGAAAATACAAGTCTCCCTCTGAAGATTTAATCTCAAAATTTCGTAGATCTGTATTTTTTAAGGCTTAATTAAATAATAATAATTAATATCAAAATAGATCTCAACTTTGAATGTTTGTAAAATAAAATTACTGTGATAAAATCATCAATAATAACAAATCAATCAATATTATTTAAGATTATTAAAGCAGTTTATTAAGCATAAATGAAAGATTCTTTGTAATCACAAAGAACTACTATGAAAAAAAGAGACATTGCAGAATTGTACATATCTACTTTAAAAGAAAACTACAATAAATGAACATAGTTTCTGTGGTAAAATTATTAAATTTCAACTGCGTCTCATTTTAATACACCTGAACTACGCGTCTCTCACTTTTTCTCATCTTCAATCTCAACACATTCAATTTCACAATAGCCAAATTCTCTTCTGTAATCAGATTCATACGGACTTTCTCCAAAATGTATTTCATTTGTATCTTCATCAAAGTATTTGTCGTCAGCTTCTTGGATAATTTCTGATTGATAAAGCTTCCTCGCTACTTCTTTCATGGTTCTTCGAGCAAGTTCATATGAACGGAAACAATGATGTTTGATAGTAAAATCTTCTTTGTACGGTGAATAAAAAATCGTCAAAATCCAGACTTCTGAAGTTTTCTCAACTGAAAAATTGTAAATATAAATTATATATAAATTTTCAAGAAACTTGACCTCGCGAAAAGTATAATAGATTAAACGATTTATTTACCCTTTGCTTTTTCAGCTTTTTTAGCTTTTGTTGTCGACATTTGTTTATCTTATTAACTGTGTAGTTGTAGTAATAAGAAATATATAAGTAAACAAGTTGAAAAGGTACTGTAAAATTCTAAAAAATGAGTCTAATTTATTGTTTTGATATTCATAAGGTGATACAAAATGCTATATTCTGACCAATAGAATTTTACGTATATCATAGTAAATCTTCAGACAAAATAAAAATTCTTAAAACTTCGAGCAAAGATATCTCGATAACTATCTAACAAAATTCAATTAAA